TTATAAAAGAAATTAAATAAATATTTCCTTGTGAAAAAAATATTTTTTCTTTTCACTGTTATTGTTCCTCATCCATACTAGTACTATGCTATTGATTTTACAGAAGAGTGAGCTGGGTTGTGAGAATATAAAACATGATCCTGATATGTGTGCTTTATCTCCATAATCTAAAATTAAGAGATTCCATTGAAGGAGGGGAGGGAAAAAACGTCAACAGCTCGCGATACGTCTGAATTAACGAGGGTCAAGTTTACTCTCCATTTACCGTCGTTATCGTTTCTCATCCATAGTATTACTATACTAATCTTTCGGAGGTCTGAGTTATTAATAATGTGAAAAATGTACGTTATCAGTTTAACCTCTACAGGGGAGCGCCACAATGAGATCGCGCACCACCTGAAAACCTGGCTGGGGCCGCCACTGGCTAGATAAACAACATTTTGTGAATGGAAAGCGCCCCTCATAACTTCAAGAAATCCATTCTTTCTTTATGGAAAAGAAATCGATATTTGAAAAGTATTAGAGAAAAAACTAGTGCTAATGAGATGAAGATGACTCCAACTCTTAATCTTCCTATCTGGAACAATATGGAGTTACTCCTCGAACTTACTTTCTTTGAAAAATTAGCCATCATTCGCATATTAACGTATAGAGAAAATTTTCAATAACCCATTTGGTCAATCTAATAGTCAAATGAGAAACCATACTCAACTACGAAAGTTTGAGGTTTTATCCATTCGGATGCTGATGAATCTCTCGAAGATTTATACAATTGTTTCCTAAATGTTTGATATAATAAATACAATACACAATTACATAATATGTATAACACATAACCACGCAATAAATTACATAACTCTAAAATATTTCGATTTTATTTTAACAATTGATAAACATATAAATAAACAGATAAAAATAATAATTAATTCGAAAGACATTAAATGATCAGGAATAAAAATAAAATAGAGGAACAAAATGATTTTTGATAACATGGGACATGCACCTTTGACTTATATTAAATATTTGAGAGAATATTCTATATTTGAATATAGTGAAACAATTGACGACAGCGAATTGTTTGCAAAAAATGAAATTCAAATTAAGCTTTATTCAGATTATTTTCTGACCTTTGGGGAAAAAGAAAAAATATCAACAATGAAAAATGAGACAAAATGGGAAGCAATTAAAAATTTTTATTTTGAACTGGATCTTTATTTCTGAAAATGAAAGAATATACAAAAAAATTACTACTTTATGCTCTACTTAATTATTGTGTTTTTGAATACATCTTGGCACAAACACGTTAATACGAGAAGATGTTGTATTCTTTTGCCAATTGTAATTATCTAACAGATAAAGAAATACATTTTGGAAAACTACGTAGTAACAAAGTTCATAATGTTAAATAGAAAATGTGCGAATATTGACGCAAACTATATAACTGAACTGCTGTATGTTACTATGTATATAATTCGTCTCTGTAATCCAAACTTTTCGGTAGACGGACTCACAGCAAAACTTTTAGTTAGGAACTCACTTTTATTCTTTAAAAAATGACATATGCATTTCAGGTTGGTACATACACCCAACCCCTCCTCAGTGCTAATTTTTCAAAAAACAATAAAAAGCTATATTAATCTGTACATGACATACATTACAAAATATTTCTACATACTTACTCTTAAAAATAAAATTTGTGTGGGGCTACCAGTACATATACAGAGACGAATTATATACATTGACGCAAACTGTTGCACAATACATGAAGCTAGGCCTACTAGCTTTATATTTGTCACAAGTGCATCTACAATTTCACTGTGTAAATTTTATAAAACAGGATACCTGCATATGAGCTAGTTTAAACGGTCGAGAACACATTAATTTCTTTTATATTGTTTCTTATAGGAAATTTGGTTTCGGTTTGAGAAAATATCAGTTTTCAAACAACTTTTAAGAACGAGTTAATTTCGAAAACAGGAGGTTTGAATTTACAGTAGACCCCCTATAACACGTAGATACGTTCCGTGTTATATGAAATTTATGTTGTACCAGTCCTTAAATACATGAATATACTTCATAGAAAACTGCATCGAAAGCAGGAAAATGGTCAGCTTCATATTGAAAATTGCTTGAATATGTCGTCACACGCATCCTTGTCCGTCTTAATGCTTATTAAACTTGAAAAGTAAGATTGTATTGACTGCATGATCTGAAAGTGTCATCACAAGTCATTCGTTTCATTAGGGAGGGTGAGGCCGAAGTTTTAAACCCGAAAACGTGTACGTCGGACGTTCAGCGCCACCTTCCTGTAAGCCTAGAAGTTTGCAATGTAGAGCATGATACTACTGACTTTCCACTGTCAAACTTCTAGGCTTACAGGAAGGTGGCGCTGAACGTCCGACGTACACGTTTTCGCGTTTAAAACTTCGCCCTCAACCTCGCTATTATATTAACAGATTTTAAATTACAAAATAATAAATCGCAGTGATATTAATGCAGTGATTACTTTGAGCCTTACCTTGGAAATATTTTACGAGTTATTTTAAATATTCCAGCTACGGTGATTACCGGAAGAAAATTTCCTAGTCTTTTGCTATACGAAATAATTTGTAATTGTAGCATAAAATTAATTCTCAGATTATTATTTCTTTTATATACTAGTAACATTGATAACTTCTATGTTATTAGCCTATAACTTGGATTAATGGATAGTTACCCTTAATTGATCATTAACATTTTTCTGCTGAAATAAAAATGTTCAAGTTAAACACGAAATCGATCCATCTAAAAAAAGAAATAATTTTTAAAATAATCAAAATAGAAAATATTTTCGCGTAGTTTTAATAAATGCCATGTAGCTACTTTAATTAACGGCTATCAACATCCGTTCTAATTCCAGATTTAGCAAACACCGAATACCAGATATTTTCCGATTAAAAAATAAACATTTATTTGTTTATATTATCTGGGGAATGCATTTTGGACCTTCTTGTTTCTCATCAGTCCCTATACAAGTTACACATTGTCAGTAATTGTACAGTATATCTTTTAATACGAATGAATATACATAGATATAAATGCCACTTACACTTTTTACACTTAATGATGACTACTCTATCCATTTTTGGAAACAACTGTCAATTTTTTAGCATGCTACAAACAGATGCCAACTTCACTAAAATTACATTTTCCACATTTAATTATCTCCAGTTTAAGAGAACTTTTACACTCCCAATTCGTTCCTTGTTATTTCTTTCCTTAATTCATGTCTTCATAGGGTGTTTAAGACTGAACAAACTCAGCAATCATATTTATTCTTACAAGGAATAATTAAACAACATAAGTTTTATCATAAGTAATAATAGAATTATAAGAAGTTTCTGTGCTTTCTTGTATAGAAATCAGATAACACGCTGAACAATTTACACTTGCTTTTTCTTTTTCTAAAAGAGTTAAAACACGTAATACCTAATATATAGAAGAAACGAAAATCACGTCCAATTATGTAGTGTAGTGTTTATTCATTTGAACAAAAATGCATTACAATTCGTAACCATGCTATATTTTACGTAACTGAAAAACTGACAAAGATCATAAAAAGTATTCTAAAATACAATAAATACAATTAGAATTATATACAATTAGTGAAATTTAATGTATACAGTATTTTACTGGTTAGTATTTACCACAAAATTCATGTAAGTGCTCATTTAGCCTATTAAGAATATACTGTAAATATATTATTAAATAAGGTATATGCAGAAAACATTTTATTCACTATTACTACATATTAAATACTGTAACGTAACATAAATCATATCAGAGATTTGAATATGTTCTATAAAATCGGTTATAATGATATTTTAAAGGAGTAAATGTGAATAATTTTAAAACCCATAGCTTATTTTTAAAATGTTTAGTAAAATTCTCTATTCAGTTTCGAAATTTTTGTAACATATTTAGAGTAGACTTTTACCAAATTAAACACAACAAGCAAAAATACTTTCTTCACACAAAGCAATATATGTCAATAAACTGTGAAAGTTGCTAATTAAATGGCTAATTTTAATCACACCTCTACTACCAATCGTTAATTCGTAACTAAATTGTCATCATTTATTATTTGTAAAATTTGCCGTAAAATCCGCATGCGCACAAATTGTTACATTTCACACTGATTAAAAAATTGAGACTAATCGTAATACAAAAACACAACAGATAACACAAAGTCTTCATACGCGTTGAAGCCCACAAAAATATGTGTTATTAAGATACCTAAACATTTATATTCTATAAATTCTACTAAAGACTAAAAACAATTCAAATAAAATATCGTGAACATTAATTTGAAAAGTTGTTTCTTGATATATTTAGACTGATTTTAAAGCTTCCATATAATTATCATTAGTTACAGAAAGAAATAGATAAAAATTAAAATTCTACAAATTCGAAATAAATTTTACCGAAACCAATAATAACTAAAACTTAACTAGAATCAAATAGGACAGCAAAATTAAAATTTTAAGCCGTATATGATGAGAGATTCACGAAAACAACGTAAACACTCCAGATGTGCGGAAAAGTGGACAAAGATGACGTGTTTGTCATCATGCCTGCAATATCTGTCCCTAACGGTTACAGACTTTCTTGCCAGAAATTACACTAATGTTCTTTCACATCTCGCAAATTCATCCGACGATACAACGTAAAAGTTTTACCTGTTTCCACTGATCAAAAAACATCTGTAGGGTCACTTTCAGTCATCAAATAAGAAAAACAGCATCGCCGTAGGAATTACGAAGTAATTGCAAATGTTTGCTTACATCAATGCTTTTAGAAGTAGTATCTGTGATTGCAAAAGTGTATCGTCGTACCACATGAAGAAGACATTGATGCTGATCGTGAATTGGCGTTTTAAACTATTTAAAGAAATTACACGTTCAGATCCGACTATATTTATCAATACAGTAGTTAAAGTAGGGTAAATTAATTAAATTAGTCAAAACAGAACTAAAAAGCAAATAAATTTCTACGATAGTATTTGAATAGTTAGTATATCGAATTTAGTATTTTATTAAAAGCAGTAAAGTGTTGAGTTTCATATTGAAAATTGCTTTAAAACACTGCCGCACGCATCCTTCCCCTTTTTAATGCCTATTAAACTAGAAAAATAAGACTGCATCGATTGCATAATCTGAAAAGATACCGCAAAAGATATTAATTATATTTCATGAATAGATTTTAAGTTAAACATGTACTTATATGATATAAAAAAGAACTTTATTATATAAAAATAAGTACTGAACTTCTTACCTTGGGTATACTTTTACGAGTTATTGTAAATATTCCACCTACAGTGATACCCGGAGGACATTTTCCTAGTCTTTTCCTGTAGGAAATTATCTGTAATTGTTATGAAATAATAATCTTGAAGTTATTATTTTATATTAAATATATGAGAAAACGTGATGGCAAAAACGTTTTCGNGATACCCGGAGGAGATTTTCCTAGTCTTTTTCTGTAGGAAATTATCTGTAATTGATATAAAAACACACCTGCAGTTATTATATTAAATTAAGTATATATGAGAAAACGTGATGGCAAAAACGTTTTCGTATCATTATAAAATAGAATAATTGATATTATAATTACCATTAATTGATCATTGATATTTTTCTGACGAAAAAAAAGTAATTCAAGTTGTGAACGAAATCGATGCATCTAAAAATAAAAATAATTTCCTCGTTGATTCATAGATTCATAAAATAATCAGGAAAATTTCGCGAAAATTTAATAAATATAATATTTTTCCTAAACTGAGTTAAATATTTTTATTAATCATCACAAAATCAATCTTCATATTTAATCAAGGTATTAAATTAAGAATGTTAAAACGACAAACGTAATTGATAACATTCTGTGGTATTCAACACTGTAATTCATTTCTAAAAGCGAAGTTTTAGTTATTCTAAATAAACTCGAAATTATTTATTACATTCAAATGTCATTACGCGCAACATTTTGATCAGTCGTGTGTTGGCAGTATCTCGAAATTAGTGTATCTCAAACAATAGATTTTCTAGGGAAGAGCTAAGCAAAACAGTTATACTGCAAATAGCGGATCACATTAAAGTGTTCCGCTTTTAAGTGTTTTCGAAACGTATTTAATTCTTGTTTCAGACAACAAACTTTTAATGCAAGAAATGAATTATGCGAAGTTCAATTTCGAAATTAACAATAGGTAATATTACAAAAGTAAATTTATTTATAATATTAATAAATTACATTGACCCGAATCAAAAAAAAATTCATAAATTTTTGTGCCAAAGAACAAAAATGTTTTAAAAATAGTGTAATTTAATTGTATGGCAAATATTGTACAAATGCTTTAATAATAATAGAATATTTTAACTCTATATTGAATAGACGATATATCCTGCGATTTGTTTTCTTAAAAAAATATGGGAATATTTTTTGCGAATAAATTTTCAATAATGTAATTCACCAAGTTTAATTATTATAATAAATTCATAATTTTTTTTAATTAAAGAAACCGTTAAGGTTTCTAAGGAAGATATAAATAAACATTGTAGAAGTATGACATAAAAAGTAGAAACTTACAGTTTTCGGTATCTCTGTTATCAGGAGAACTGAAAAAGCGAAAACAATGTTATGACCAATTCCAACATATATGAATGCATATTTCACGATCTTCAATCCTTCTCCGTATATGCCAATGTAGAAAGTTATTGTGGTGACTGTCAATTGAAATAGGTAGTAAACTGCTGTCATTCGGTTAATCATTTCATTTATGTTCAGAAGAATGTCACAATATTGGGCATGTTTGTGAATTACAAAGCGAACATCTAATGCTTTGCCATTCTCCATGGCATCTTCCATTTTTTCACACAGCGATGACATGTTCTCATGTAGTGTGAAGCCTACATCTAAGATATACAGAAGAATCATAATTAAGATTCCAAGTCCGTAAATTATTTCCCACTGCGTTAAAATTAAATGAAATACAAGTTTGTGCACATTTTCTTCATTTACAATAGATCCAAACATTATCGCGGTAACAGTAAATACAATCGCGTAGGAGCATATGAGAATTAAAATGGCAAATTTACTTAATTTGTAATGAATGAATGCGGAATTTTCTGTAAAATTATCCAAATATATTTTGCACATGTCTACAATTATACTTGAATGGATTTTGGCATTTTTCTTGAGAATTATTTCAAAAACTAAATAAACGAATAGAGTAAAAGATAAGATTGAGATACAACAAAGAATATAATCATCACCAAAAAGACGATCGATGCCCCCCGTAAACTGATGTCTTTCTTCTCCTTGTAACAAGATAAACAAAAGAACATTAATATTGCAATAAATGAATAAAATTTTTATAAAATGCTGATACACTTTATACATGAAATTAGTGTTTTCGTCTTTTAAAGGTAAAAACACTCCGAAAATGGAAAGAATAGATATATTCTTTGTAATTCTACATAATAAACAGTAACAATCAAGAGAATGATTCACAGTGTTACGAATCATCTTCCGACGTTTTATAGTTTTAAAAATCAGCAAATTTAAAAAAAAAAAAAATGTTATTTTGTGGTAAATGGTGAGACAGCAAGCTTAAAACTAGACAGAAGTGCTTAGTAATAAGAGAAAAATGGCATTAGGAAATGGAATTCGATTAAGGTGCATCACGTTTAAATCGAAATCTAATTTATTACGCACATAATATTGAAGAATTCTGTACATAATTTATGTAGTGTTTACCTGATTCATTATATTGGAATTTAATTTCTATCAAATGGAATATAATATAATTTTAGATGCTATTATAGTTTAGATTAATCGATCTCTTAACATAGTGTGCAATACTGAATTTTTCGATAAACTATTAAAGACAATTTTAAAGACTAAACAATAAAATGCACGCGACTCAACATTTTCTAAAATTACTTTTAGAAGATAATTAATGCGTCGTTTATAATGGTTTCTACGTAAGAAAAATTGATGAATTTTAAATTCCATTATCGTTAAGTGCAGAAAGCACTTAACGATAATGGAATTTATCACGAAACAACGTAAACACTCCAGATGTGCGTAACAACGTAAACACTCATAATGGAAATTGATTTTGTGTCTTTAATGGTTTTAATATAATTTTCTGCAAAGATAAAAAATTATGTGACTTTAATAAATAATTTACTACACCATTTGCTTTCGTAAACATAATAAACTTTCTAGTGACTAGTGTTAGCAATATCATAATTGAAATTACGAAATATAATCCAAAATAATCGTAAATTCTAATAAACTTGAACCAAACAATACAGAAATTGTATTGACATTTAAGAATGTTTGATAGTATCGTAGAAACGGTATATTGAGATATCTCGCTTGAAAAATTATTTATAAAGTACCGCAATGTTCATTCTGTTGTTCTAAAAGATTCGAATTTGTACAAAATATATTCGAAAATAGAAAAGTCCTAAATATGCGCGAGTAAGTTTACATTCGATTGATGGCAGAAAGTAGTGAAAAACATGCACGTTTTACCAAACTTTAATATATTCGTAATATCTTTAGAAATATATTTCACAGAATATACTAAAGATTTTTCTTACTATATAAATATTCAAGTTGAATCATATATCAATAGATTTTCAGATTTCAAATAAAATGATTGTAGCAGGATGCCATTTTGGAATTTGGATGCTGCTCAGAAAGAATCAATAAAATAAATTCTTTTATCATAATACCCCAAATTGAAGAAAATCGTTGCTATCGACGATAGTATCATCGAGTGTGCTTGAATGCATATTTTGCCAAAAAAACTGAATACAAAACACAAGACAAACTTTACCTTAATTTGGCAAAAACAACAGTCTATTAAATTTTGGTGATGTACGAACCCAAACTAGTTAATAATCTTACGAATTTCCAACAACACTAAGTTTTTTCTGGTGTCAAAAATTAATTCTTCTTACATAAATCTAATCAAATATTTTAAAGTTACTAATCTTCAGTAGTATTTGTGTGATCAGGGAGTTAATCGAAAAAAATTGAAACAACTATCCGTTTAATCTGATATATATAGTCGAGACGGGTTGGTGATAATCATAAGAATAATAAGCGCAGAGCCCAAACGGTTAGGAGATGAAACTTGAAATTTGGTACACCCAGTTAGGGTACGTCACGAAAACCCACACTAAGAAGGGATTTTTCGAAATTTTTCCCCAGGGAGAGAGAGACAGAATTAAGGTTTTTCGACAATGGAAGTATAAAGTAACAATGGCAGTGTTAACAATGAAAGTGTCAACAATGAACGTGTTACGTAACAATGGAATTGTTAAGAGAAAGCGACGTGCAAGACGCAGATGCAGTTTATTTTTCGTTCTTGCGGGAAATCGAAAATACTTTTAGACCCATCTAAAAATTCTCTAAATACTCTGGAAACGGGGGACCCAATTCTTGCATTCTGTGAAAAAGGGTAAGGTTGACTATAAAGTAATAATGTTAATCTTCGCTATCGTTACTTTTGCCGAGCAACGCCGGGGCTACCTGCTAGTTGTTTATATACGAAAATGTCAATATATAAATGCTTCTTACGGTTCGAATATGAAAACAAGGTCAAATTCCCGCCATTGCCAGTCCAGCGATGGATGACACATTTAAGAACAAACATAAGATCACCTGTCCAAATTACCACACTAAAAGAAGATATTAAGGCCTCGGATCCGATCTGAGAGGCAGACATAATACAACGAGGTGGACATTATTTTGAAGAGCTAACAGACAAAGCTTTCTCTGTCAGCCTCTGCGTCTAGTCTTCTTTCCGTTGGACTCTATCTCATAGAAGACTTCCTACTGACCTCGACCAGATCCAGTACTTTCGAGTTCTTTTCTCGAGGTATTGTACGTAAAATGGTAGTTAAAATCGTACTCTCTCTCCTCTCGGTCAATTGAGATATTAGCTTTAGTCAGTATATAGCAGGTTATTGTATCATAAGCTTTCCTTTTTGTTTATTATATTTGTTATTTCGTTAATCTGGCGTTGATACTAATTGTTCGACTCGATCACCCTCTCAACTTACCTGCAGCTCTCCCCACTCGACATACAGTCCTCCTATTTAACGATAAGTCAACATCTTCGCGAATTAGGACGCAAGCCACAACTATCCTAACTAGTGTCAGGAAAGACAGTCCTCCAGAACTAAGACAACTATATTTAAAGCCATGCGGTGGCAATTGAGCGGTCATCACCAGAGTGATGTCAGAAAAGAGTTTACAACTTTACTTTCTAATCCCCGGCTTATCACATAATTTACATATAAATAATAATAAATTACTGATTAAAATTTGCAAAACAAACATTGTAATATTTATGTTTGTTAAAATAATTTGAAACATTACGGAATATTATAAAAATGAATTTAAAAAAAATTAATGTCATGACAAAAGTTGAAGTGGTCATAAACTTTGACAATGCTTTTTCATAAGTGAAGTGCACAATTATAGTTTCAAGTTTCAAAGTCTTTTTTGTTGTATATATATATATGCACCAATGAAGTTTAAAATTTATTACTATATTTCTGCATTTCACTTATGACCTGGATAACCTCTTTCTATTCGAACCTCAGTGCCGTCTTTAGAATGTAAGAAGCCCTGGGCCAGGACCAAGATGGGGCACCCTTAAGGAAACAGAAACAATAGTGTGCGAACCGACGGGGTAGAGCGGTGCGCTTCTCCCCACTTACCGGCTTGGCTGTCAGAGAATGGCTATAGGAGGGCTAAAGATATGAGTGGGGAGGAGTCGAAAGTCGTGACCAGGTATCCAAAAGAGTACACGGGTAGAAAATAACTAATATATTTAATAAACAAATAAGAAATTACATAAAGACAATAAATACAACACACGCGTATCAAGATATAAATAGATATTCTATATTCTAACCTAACTTAACACTAAAGATCGAGAGAGACCTCACGTTGGAGAGGGAGATAATTATGGCTAGGGTTTACCTGGTAGGATATAGGGCGTTGATAAAACGCTCTGTGATCGTCGTCTTCTAAATTCGAGGTGCCCTTTGAAGGCTATGTAGAGCGATGTCCTTCTCAGGCCGTTCAACTAACAAGGAAACTGTCAGAGTGTCTTCTAATAAAATTTAATAAAATTTAGTTAATAACTACGTTAAAAGTATACAAACTCTACTTTAAATTTATATCATTCACTAAAAGTGTTGATCAGAGCTTTTAGCAATCAAATGTTGCACTAATTTATAGTAGTTTAGCACAATTATGCAAATTTTTAGAAGTGAAAGGGTCGCGGAGGAAGACGGCGATATTACATTTAGAATAAATTATGGAATTTTCAAAAATGGTTGAAGAATTAATAAAATTTTGTATACTTTTAACATAATTATTAACTAAATTAAAACAATAATTTTAACAAATTTCAGTTCCAATGGTGGAACTGAAATTTGTTAAAATTATTGTTTTGTTCTGGTCAAAAATCATGGAGTTACCCTCATATAATTTGCGTCGAATAACATATAATGTTTTGTTAACAGCAGTTAAACATGGTAAGAAAAGTTGGCCAGCTTCAGTTAAAAATATTTTTGATGGCTTGGGTTATTCCTTTTTATTTTTATCTCATTCAGCTTCTTTGTTGAGAACCCATTTAAATGCACTAATTCAAACTAAGTCAGATCAGTTGTGGAACTGGGATATGTCTTCAATATCAGCTAAACGAGTTAATCTGTTTGAATCACGCTTGGTCTGGTGTACAGCAAGTTACTTGAATTGTGAGACTAATTTTTCCACAAAAAGCCTTATTATGTAACTCAGACTAAACAGATTTCGAATTTTGTTCAAAGGTTATCGAATAAATATATCCAGTGAAAGGTGTTGTGAATTTTGTGGTGTAAAAGAAAAAGAAAATCTTCTGACTCATTTGTTTGAATCCTGTCAAGTGACATACCAACTAAAATGTTCTGTATTAGGGGAGGAGTTTAGATGTGATTTTTTGAAGAATGAGGTTATGTCAAAAATTACCTTATTTAAGCTCTTCTCCTTTTTCTCTAAATCTTTGGAATTTCTTCGTTAATTTTACTATGATT